TCTATATATTTTTAGTTGTCCAGATAATTTCTTTCTATTTTTAGTAGAGACGGGGTCTCACTCTTGCTCAGGCTGGTCTCAAACTCCCGACCTTGAGCAATCCTCCTGCCTCGACCTCCTGGAGTGCTAGGATTACAGGCATGAGCCACCGTGCAGGGCCTAAGATACCTTTCAAAAGAGCCTTTTTTTTTTTTTTTTTTGTTCATCTGTTGCTGAATTTGTAAACCTTATCCCTTTAAAGTAGATGAAATTTCTTATGACTTCTAGTATTCTCATTCAGAGTTGCCCACATCACACGTCTCCCTTAGATCATTGGAGTCCAAGACTAGCAGCTTCTAAGATTCATGAAAAATCACATCCTCACTAGGCCTCAGTAAGACTTGCTGAGATGGCATTTAGAATACTCAGCTGGTTAAAAACATTTTTTTTTCTGTTAGGTCTGCCTTTCCACAAGTTCTAAGAAAGGCTGAAATCAGCTGTTTCTCAATGCATCAGCCACTTGTTGGAGAGGTAAAACAGAAGACATGTGATTGCATGAGTAGGCAGGATTTACTTCCTGTTACAGAGTGAGAGCGTGTCTCTAAGCCCAAAACACTACATCTGCCCCGTGCTACTTTAACCTTTTAATAAGACCCCTCTTAGCCTGGACGTGGCTTCTTAAACTCTTACTTGTTCATCTGGGACCCACTGAGGGTGTCAGTGTGTTCTTCCTCCCTATTCTTTTGTTTTCCTGGAACGCCAGGCCCCATGCTTTGGAGATAACTAAACTGAATCTGCTTTTCTGGATCTTTTTCCATTTTCCAAGTACCTCTGGCCCCATGCCTCCATTTCACTATTTTCTCTTTTCTCGTCAATTCCCTTTTCTCTTCTAGGAGCCTCACTTTTGTGATGTGTAAAAGCAAAATAAGAATGCATTCTTTGTAGAAGCCTTGTAAGAATTAAATTAGGTTAGATTAAATAGTGTATGTCAGTGTATAGCACATAGTAGGTATGTGAGCTATGTTAGTTGCCTTTTCTCCCACCACCTGCTCCATCAAACATTCCTATAGGTACAGAGCAGTTTTGGAAACCCACCAAGAGCAAGTAGGCATTAACCTACTTGCCCACAAGGGAATCTGTACTTCTGGAATGTTTCTAAGAGACAGGAGGAAGAAAGAGGCACATGGTATCTAATACCTGGAAATACCGCCATGTGACCTGCCATTTCCTAACCTGGCTTGTACAGTGTACCACAGCCACCATAATTCTGAGTGGCTGAACAAGGACTATTCCCTCGCATCCTTTTTTCTTCTTAATTCCAATGAATACTCACGATTCAGCTCTCTGAATATAAGTTGATGTCCTGGAGTAGGGAAGTTGCCAGAAAGAACATGGTTGAATGGATCTTAGTTACAGTATCTGGGTCCTTGACCCCCAGCTTTGCTACCAACTAGCTGTCTCACCCTGGGAAGGTCTTGTCACCTTTGAGAGTGCTCTTTCATATTCTGTAAAGATAGAGAGTTCAACCACGTTATCTCTAAGACCCATTCCAACTCTAAGAGTCTGCAGTCCTCTGGTCTTATGTCGTTAGGGATATTGTGGTGATCACCATTAAATAAGAATGGATAAAGTACCTGTAACTCTAGTCCATCTTCTACACTGTAGCCCAGTGACAACCCTAACCCTAACCCTAAGTAATAAGTCTGATCATGCCACTCTCCTCTCAGGAATCTCTGTTGACTCCCTCTTGTCCCAGCCTTGCTACTCATTGCATGGTCCATGGATCAGTTGCTCCAACATCACATGGGAACTTGGTAGAAATGCAGAATCTCAGGCCCTACCGTATATCACTGAATCGGAGCCTGCATTTTAGCAGTGTATCCCCAGATGATTCTTTAGCACATTATAGTCTGGCATGGACTGATGTAAAGATGAACGCCCAGATTCCCTGGGATGGCATAGGAAGTCCTTCACAATCTGCCTTTCCTGCTTCACTTCTGTTTTCCCAAACACTTCATACCCTTTCGTCCCTCTGTGCCTTCACACATTGTTTCCTCTGCCCTTTTCTGCCTCCACCCTCCTCTTTCTTACTCCCTCTTGTCCCAGCCCTGCTACTCATTGCATGGTCCATGGATCAATTGCTCCAACATCACATGGGAACTTGGTAGAAATGCAGAATCTCAGGCCCTACCATATATCACTGAATCGGAGCCTGCATTTTAACAGTGTATCCCCAGATGATTGGAACACTTCTATTCATCCATCAAAACCATCCTCTGGTAATTCTTCCCCTTTTCCCATTAAAAAAAAAAAGTTAGAAGGTCCTTCCTGTGTGATCTCACAGCAGCCTGTTTGCATCATGTCAAAATTATTTGTTGATAATAATTATTACAATAACATTTTGTTACTTGCCTACCTCTTGAGCAGGCTTTGAGCTGCTTAGCTTTATTCAACAGGTATTTGTTGAATGCCAGGCAATATACAGGGATTAGCATGTATCTTATTTATCTTTGCATCTTGAGCATCTAGCACGGTTGTGGTAAATTTTATTTCATAAGTGAGTTTACTACCGGCGTGACTGGTGCTGATGGTCAAGAGAAAGGAGGAAAGGAACCTAACACTAAATGCTGCCTGTCGTCATGCTGGGCATTTGCATCTACCTTCCAACTTAATCTTGACAGCACCTCCTTGAGAGAGCTGTTACAGCTATTTTTGCAGTTGAAGAAACTAAGATCCTAAAGGCAAGCACACTTGCCCTAAACCACGTGGTTAGAAAGGGAGATCTTTCTCTACCAGTCCCTCACCTTCTTCTACATTAAAATTAGACTTTTGTTTTCCTTAGTTGTTGCAAGAAGTTGCTTTTTCCTTCGGGCAAGTGCAGGCGTTAGAACAGAAAGTCCACTTCAGATTGGCCAAAAAGTCAAGAAAAACAGGTTTTCTCCACCCCCCTCAAATGTGCTTGGCTTTACCATGGGAATCTTTACAACAGCCGCTGGTAAAACACAAACTTGTTACTCCAGTGAGAAAGGGCCTGGCCTGCTGGATTCGGAGTGGCATAAATTATTGTCTTTTTAACAGTGTTTGGGAGACTTGGTGACCCAGACTCCCAGAACAGAACATTTTCTACCTCCCACAGGGTGGGCAGTTTGGTCCCTGCCTGCTTCTCTGCTGAAGGAGTTTTGAAGTAACCAAATGGTTATTTTGCCAAAAGCACATATAGCTTCTATCTGATTTTGAATGCTGAGAGTTGTTTAAGAGGCAAAAGAACATGGAAAGTCAGATTTTCTGATATGCATGCCACATCATGCCAGTTACGAAAAGAGCCTGTCCCGTGGATTCTATTCTCAAGTAAAGTGAAAATCTTTACTGTCTCACACCCCTGGAGAGGGAACAGACAGCAATAGGGATCTCTCTCTGAAAAGCCACTTTGGAAAAATTCTATTATCCTTAGACCCTAAGAGAAGAGTCATAGAGTCTACATGAAG